TTGTTGTTGTTGTTGTTGTTGTTGTTGTTGTTGTTGTTGTTGTTGAATGGCTGTTGTTGTTGGATTGTTGTTGCTGTCGTCTTTGTCTTTGTCTTTGTCGTCGTGGTCGTGGTCGTTTGTGGGACAAAAGTCAACCCAAATGTTGACCAACAATGGCCGGCCCACTCCTGATCACGGCGAAGTTGCTTCAACAAGGTGATGTTCACGGTGTGCGTGCCCCAACCGGCTTCGTGATCCTGAGCAGTGGCATTCCAACAAATAATCTCCTGACAACAACAGGGTCAACTGTGGCCTCGGGCTTGAACTTGGGTGCAAAATCTCTTCTACCAAATTCACCTTTGAGGTCTTTTGGATTCAATGGGCAACCACCCACAACCACTCACAGGTTGAAAACCACGACAACCACTTGGCCCTTCTGCCTTGTCAACTCAACCGTGTCTGTTTCGGACAAAAGGCCACCGTGAAAGCAGCGTTGGCGGGCACCCCCATGTTCTTGTAGCTGTTGCAAAAGCCGCACGGATTGGTGATCACTAAATACCTGTAGCTCACATCTTCGGCTTCGTCCTCCTGCACACTGAGCTTGACGATCCTCTCGGTTAGGTTCCTGGCGCCGGTTGGGAGTGGAAGACCGGAGCACCGGCTCGCCTACCAACTGGTTTTGCTTTCTTTCCGGGCTCGGACAATCTGCCTTACATCGGCGCCCGCTCCGGCCTCCTTCTGGGCAAAAGCAAGGGCGGCCGGCAGCGATTGGAACCACGGCCTTGTCAGCAGCGATCCGCAACACTAGCTGAGACCGGAGTAAAGACAAGCCGAAACTAATGTTGGTATACTCTTGCCTGACTAAGAAGCTTGTGTCCCAAAGTTGGCCTACGTAGCCTCTCTCCCCTTAGGCCCAGGCCCTTTGCAAGGAAGGCTGGTGTCTTTGCGCAATTGCTTCGAACAGAAGAGACCCATGCCTGCGGCTGCCTGAGGTGACTGCTTCACAATGAGGTTGTGCTTTTGTAGGAACAAAAAGTTTCTGCGGCTCATGATTTTTCTGTCCAGGGAATCGCAGCGATGAAGCTCGTCTTCCTCTTCGCTGTCGGCACGGGCTTCCTCCGCAACCTTCCCTACGATGTCCGGGACTTGGATCAAAGGAGCTCCATCCACTTCTGGCTTCCCTTCCTCGGCGGCGCTGGGCTCACGCTTGAGGACACGCTTGGGCACGGCTTTGGGCACAGGTCCCTTCGCTGGCAAGTCCAGCTCCGCCTTGGCCAACAACATGCTATGGAAGCTCGCCAAAGCCAGTGCAAAATTGTGTTTCTCTGCCTTGGCCTTTGGCGCACACAGCGCCAATGTCAAGGGCAAACTTCGCAGCATCGATGTATCATCGTTGTACTTCTTGACACCCCCCAGGAAGCCGGTGCAAAAGACCACAGGCGCTGGCACCACCAAAGAACTCAACTCCAACTCCGGCGGCAAACACCCAAGTAACTCGGTCACAAAACATGGCGCAACATTGTTGGCCCAGGTTTTCCGCAAAAATTTTGCGCTGGAACTCGAAACTTTCTTGGGGTCCTGCGGGCAGGACAATTGGCTGTCTCTACCTTCGCCCTCCACAATTGCATAAAATTGTGGGGGGTTCGAAGTATAGCGCAGTAAGTAAAAATTCCTTCATATACCTTTGGGGTTCGCCCGTGTCACCACTGGAAACAACATAAACGCTTTCAATTCACACCAAGCCCACACAAAGCACAGCCCAAACCAAGGCCAATTTTCAGGCAAATTGTTTTATTAGGGCGGTCGGCTCCGTCCTGATCTTCGGACTCTTCCTCCGAATCGGAGCCGCCGTCATCTTCATCTGCCGCGGTGTCCACGCCCGCCATTTGCAAGAGGTTCTTTGGGCTGGCCATTTCCGAGTTTTTCTCCTGCACCTTCGCCGGGGAAGCCGCAACCTGCAAAGAAGAGCTGGACCTCAGGCTGTGTTGGTTGCAGAGCCCATACGTGAGGATCGAATCATCAGCCCAAAAAACTTTTGTAGTTAGTGTAAATTGTTGCTTCCCTAACGACCGGCTGGGTGCCATGATCTGATTGGAGGCGGCTCATTGTCTTGTTGTCTTTGGGCGGGAGATGCCCATTGCTATCCCGGCCATCCTCCAGAAAACGCGCCCGGCAACGAAGACAAACCAACCAAGCATGAGACCGTGCCCAAAACGGACCCAAAAACTGCCCAACACCAAAACATAAAATTGCAGCGCAAGTCGCAATTGCTCGACCAACTTCAGGCTGGGGCAGGCCTGGCTGACCTCTTTCGCTGAGCAATGCTCACAAACTGTGGCGCGCAAAGCCGGCTCCGGGTACGCTTCCCCAACAGAGAGCACCTGGGGCAAATTGAAGGCCACCACAGAAGGCCCACGGGCCAAGGCAATGAACTCAGCGTACTGGCCCCCAGCATGGTTCTGCGCGACTGCAGTAGGGAAGGACTGCCAAATGAATTTCTCGAGCGCCTGCGCTGCCTCGCACAATTCTCGCTTGGTTTCCTGAAGAGCTGTTGGGTCGTGCCCGAGGCTGATGATGAGCACGTCCGAACGGGTGATGTGGGCCAAGTTGGAAGCGAGCTTCTTCAACTGAAGTTTGTGGCTCATCGCCAAAAACTTTGGGCCCCGACGTGTTCCACGAAATCCCACGCACCACATCCGGCAAATGTCCTTGGAGGCCGTGCCCAGGCTACCATCGAGCTGGAGAAAAGCATCAAGCTCAGCGGCCACGCGAGCTTCTGTCAAAGCAGCTGCGTGTCTCTCCTGTTCTTGGCGTCGACTTTGGGCCAAAGCAGCCATGCCTCCTCAGCCTGTCTCGCAGCCAACTCGGCCGCAGCTTTCCTGTCGCTTTCTGCCAAAGCTTTCAGGCGGGCCTCCTCCTCGCGCTTCTTGGCCGCAGCTCTTTCGACCAAATCTCGCTGAGCCTTCTGGTGCGCTTCTTGAGCTTTCCTGAGCACTGCATCGTGCGCTTTCTGCAGAGACTGCTCCACACTCGAGAACTCATTCAATCCACCTTTGGAGAGGTCTTGCCCAAGACCTTTGGAATGAACCCAATCAGCCAACTTCGGCAGCATAGTGGCATCCCCACTGAGCAGGACCCTGCGAAGCAGCTTAGTCGCGGCGGGCACGCCCTGGCAACAAGGGGGACGAAAAGAATTGCGAATAGACGAAACTTACACAGGAAGGCCTTTTAGCCGAAGAACTCCCCCAAAAAACACGAGTCATTTTTGACAGCTGGTCACAACAACTATGACCCTAAACTGCCCTATACGTTGAAAAAAAAGGCTCAACGCCGACTGTTTCAAAACGGTCTTGAAACGATTCTGGAGGCTTCAGGGGCGCCTCTGGCTTCCAAACGGGCGTTTTGAAATGGGTCTGGAGGTTTCAAATGCGCCTCTTGTTTCAAAACGTGCGTCTTGAAAAGAAATTTGGCAGGGCGCGAGACAGCCACGGATCACTGGGAAACAAAAAATCAGCCCCTTCCGCCTGCCTCGTATACATCCGGGAATGTTGCGCGCAAGCCTCGGAAGTACTCAATGGCCTTCGAGACTGAAGAGCAAAGCCCTTCGAAGCGCTCCGCCGTAAGAACAGCGCTGCCAACGATCTTTCCGGAAGGATCCAGCTTGGCTCCCTCGAGCCGCTTGCACGCAAGGAGCACGCAAATTGTCTGGGCGTCGCGCTTGTCCTCTGGCACCTTGGGCGCTGAGAAGGAGGACAATTTCCAAAGGCCCAGCCCCCCCGCTTCAAAGGCTCGAGAACACCGGGCGGCTCCTCAAAATGACGACCGGGCCGACGCGTCCAACGAGTCAGGCCTCCACAGAAACTCCTCGAAGACCTGCAAAGGCCCCAGTCGTGAGGAAACTCTCCTTGAAGCCGTTGCAAAGATGAACTTTGGCCCGTCGCCGCCACGCCACGAGCTCCCCAAGAGCCTTCTGCGCAGTCGGTCAATCCCACACGTGGCCAAGAATCCGTGGCTCAACGCCGCAGACTGGAAAAGCTCGTCCCGAAAATGTTTCGAACATGTCTACCACGGTCGCCCCATCCGCCCCGAAACGACTTATCGCTATTTGTTCGGCCGCACTCCTCTCCAGTAAACCGGGCCACCGAGACCAGCCACAGAGTTCAGGGGCGCGGCCAAAACAAGAGGAGGACAAGGCCCAGCCACAGAGCCCAGCCACAGACGAGCCACAGAGTTCAGGGGCGTGGCCAAAGAGGAGGGCAAGACCTGAACAGAGAGCAGCAGAGGACAAAAGGCGGGCGGACACAGAGCCCAGCCACAGGAGGATGGACACAGAGCCCAGCCACAGAGTTCAGGGCCACGGCCAGTGAGTGTGGCCAGCTCTTTTTTTTGTAACCACAATCATGCAAAATTAGTACTGCTCTGCTTGAACGAAGAAAAGATCCCAAATCGTGTCTTTCGTTGCTACCTCCCAGCTGTGCTCCCACGAGTGGCCCGCCCCCAAAAAGCCTCAGGGCTCACGTTGGCCAGCACAAACTTGCAATCGGCAATCCGTCTCGCGCCCAAATCTCCAGATCGCAGCTTCTCGCCGTAGAGGGCCACCGCATCGGTCTCCGACATCTTCTCCCGGACAGGCAAAATGTTCAGGCATGTCTCGGCCAGATGAACCTGGCGACGACGAACCGCCCAACACCCACGAAGGCCTCTGTCTGCCAAAGGCGGCCAGCCACAAAAAACAAACAATCCTTTTTAAACCGTCACTTCGTCATGATACACAAAGAACAAGGACCAGCTGGACACAAAAACCTTCCAAGGTGGACACTGACAAACTATCCATCGTTGCGACACGGCGGATCCCGTAAACTCCAAAAAGCAGGCCTGGGTTCTCCGCTCGGACTGCTGCATCGAAGCCTCCTGCAGGATGACCCAGCCCATGAAACTATCCGTAGGGTACCACTCCACCTCCAAACCCTCGTTGTAACACTGCAGCAAATCAAGCTGCGCTGGCGTCAACTTTGACGTTTCCATCTGGCTGAACTCCTCTCCCAGGATCCGAATTGCTGAGACGCACAGGCCAGCTGGGTTCGGAAGCAAGCCGTCCGGAGCAACGAAGGGGAGCGTGCCATTCCCGTTGCACGGGAGCACCAGCCTAGGCAGCGAGGCCCGCAAGAAGTTGTGCCGGAAGATCTCCGTGAACTCCACCAAGGCCGGCCCACAACGCATTCCGCTCAAACGGCTTCCGAAATTGCAGCTGTAGGCGGACAGGTAGATGCGGCCCGGGAGGGCCTCCTTGACCCTTTCAGCCAACAAGTTCTGCGCAGCCTTCTCCTCGGACTTTGCAGCGGTCGAGCCGGCCGACGTCCTCTGGCTCTTTTGAGGGGTGTAGCTCTTGAAGTCAAACGTTTTGGGTACTATGGCCCACGGATCCACAGCACGCGCGGCGAGCATGGCCTTGAAAGCCACACAGCAAACTGCTCGGCTGCCAAAAGCTGCGTGACGGAGATTGGCCACTGATATCTGAAAAGAATATTTGAACATAATGTCACGTGGGCCACAAGAATTACACGTTGCAAGACTTTGCCAGAGACCGAAAAGAATGAAGGCCTGGTGAAAGGCCGACTGTTCATGAAATAGGGAGAGCAGACCCAAAAGGCCTGCCCACAGCTTTGCCGAATGGCCATCATGAGCGAACAAACGGGGTGTAACAAAATGTTTGTCCCCCTTTAGCGCAAATGACAGCTACCCCTGTCCATTGAACCAACGAACTCGGTCAAAGGCGCACTTAAAATCGCTACTCAGCAAACAGGCGCAACTTCTATACTTTGCTCGCTAACTCCACAACATCGCAAAAAAATCCTTGTAACAAATTGTTGGGCCCCTTTTCCCCCCAGTCGCTTTGAAAGCGCGGAAAAGTCTCGCAATGCATTTATTGGTGAACGTGCTGCACCATTCAATAAGGAGAATCACAACTACCACAATCTCATGGCAGTCACCTAGGCTCCCAAGTTACTCTCCGTCTCCGTGGGCTCGCCGACCTCTTCCACAAACAAGTCTCGCCGCGTCTGCAAAAAATCCAGCTCTTGACTCAAGTCGGCAATCTTCTTTTCCATCTCCTGCAACTCTTCCGTCTGGCGCATCTTCTTGCTACTCCGCAGCTGCGCCATGCAGAAAGAAGTGCCAAGGATTGCAATCTGCATCTGCACATCGACCTGAACCAGTCCGCCGGGAAGGTCGCCAGCCAAAGTCCAAAAGGGAACTAAACCCCGCCGACTTGTGGCATTGACCTGCTTCTCCTGCGACACTTGCGCGAAAATGGCCACGCGCAAGGACTCAAAAAAAGCTTTCGTGGCCATATTTTGTTTCAAAAAAGCCCATCAAAGGTTGCGGTGTCCAGCCCCGCCCAACCACGAGGAGACCCGGTCACCAAGAACGGAAAACACCTCCCCTTTGCAATCTAAAGCAGGACTGGATCAATAAAAATACAAGAGTTCGAACGTGTGTATACATATTTCTGTGCAAAATTGCCGCGCACAGAAAGGCGACCCGTCTGCTTTTCACACCTGTCTTGGTCTTGGTCCTGA